CTGCACCGCCATATCCCCCTCCTCTACTACCGTAAAAGGAAACTCCACTACCACCTCCATAGCCACCTCCGTAGCCACCTCCAAAACCTGCATCATAGCCACTCCCATAACCACCACCACCAGCTGCCCCACCAGCACCTCCATATCCCCCATAACTCTCACCAGCTCCACCATAACCACCTCCCATATCATAACCCCTGCTATAGGCTCCTCCATAACGGCTTGAATATCCTATGGAAGATTCTCCCCTATAAGCCCCTATACCGCCGCCACCACCGCCACCATATACTCCATATCCGCCAAATTCACTGCCACCATATCCTCCATAAGCACTGCCTCTACCACCATAGGCAGCAGCTGACCTATAACCACCAGCACCACCATAACTGCCACCTCCAAATCCACCATAGCTTTCTCCATACCCACCACCATATGCAGGTCTAGAATCATTATAACGTTTTGATGGTGGTGCAGGTTGGTTTGGCTTCTTTGGTTCTGCCTTTTTTATCTCCACCTACAAGAAATAACAGATGAATCTAAACTATCAAGCTTCTTGAATGCTCATAGATGCATTTAGTACATTACATGGCCAAACCGTCTGAGTACATGTAAACTAATTTCGTGTACATATGTGAATTCTACCTCAGTTTTGTTTGGTCAAGCGTATTGTATCATGGTCTCCTTATTCGTCACTTCGAAAGTGAATAAAGCAATATGAACTTTAAGTAATCTACAGGGACTACTAAACCAAGCAACAATTTAGTGCAACCCATTACAAAACCATTCTTCCACATTGATCAGCGAAAGCAGAAAATTAAAAAGAGGATGCATACAGCCACATCAATGCATAGAGACCCACTACACGATGCATACAGCCAACCCACCTATATAATCAAAACTTGGCGGCACTTCAAATTTGAAATTTTCTTCCTCTCTCACGACATAGGTTAGCTATTAAGGAATAACATTTCAAGAGCGACAAATTCCACCAAAAACATCCCCCACGTTCCATTTCTACTGTGAATTGGTAATATTATCGATGCATATGTTATATGATCCTCAAACTCGCTGTAGCATGACTATTTATTTATTTATTTATTTAATATCCTTTACCTCAACTTCATCTGTTTTTCTGTTGAGTAAAGATAAAGGTCGTACCCAGTGCACAAGGCTCCCGCTTTACGCAGGGTCTGGGAGAGGTGAATGTCGGCTAGCCTTACCCCCATTTATGGAGAGGCTGCTCCAAAGTCTCGAACCCGAGACCTACCGCTCATGGGCGAAGGCACTTGCCATCGCACCAAGTGCGACCTCTTTCTGTTGAGTAAAGATGATAAATTTAAAATTCATCCCACAACCTAAGAAATGGAAAAAAGAGAGGAGGTGAATGTACAAAATCCTTGCTATGCCCTCTATATTTAATAGAAAAATAAATTGAGTTAACGGATATAATTGAAGTACCACATGAGATTGTGTTTGAGAACCACAATAAGGAAAAAAAGAAAAACTATCCTAGAATGAAGGTAAAATTCGTGTTCGTGACAACAATGTCGTATATCTGAAAAATAATTCAAGTAGATTAAGATGTTAGTACACAATCGTTTATCTTGTTTATTGAACAAACAACAAGGACAACAATGTCGTTTTCTCTCTTTCGAAATTCATAAGCAACAAAATTGAGATTTTTATTAAACAATCACATGAGCTTAGAAAATACCACATCAACATTTTGCAAGCAGTCTCATAAGAAATCCCAATCAAGATAAAACCATTCAACAGTTTATTAGATTTCTCCTTTCATATAAGAGCATGGTTCGGAGGATTATTTAATTGACGTTATAACATCTTTATTCAAAGAAAAAATGAAAAAGAAAATAGGGCATCCCTAAGGTATAGGCCACAGCCACTGTTGCCACTGTTGCCACTGCTCCAACCACGGCAGCAGCTTAACAGCTCCCCTATCAAGCTTAACAGCTTCCCTAAGGCATCCTTCCTGGCATCGTTCTCACTATTCTCAATCTGATTGCCCTTTTCTTGTGGCTTATCCTCGATTTCATCAACTTCATCAGAAGATGCTCCGATTTGGCCCCTGTAAGGAATGAAATTGAATTCCGTGTTCAGCTATTTAAATATTCAACTCTTAAGTTTTGTCAATAGCAATTGAGTAAGAATAGGTATGATCAAGCTTAATAAACAAATCACAACCACATTACAAATCAAAAACATATACAGGGTAATGCAGTTATATCCAATTCTTTTGTGCTTTCTCCACAAAAGTTCTTCCATGTTAATGTAACTCTATATCAATTAATCTATCATACAAGACTATACATAATCAGCAATTGAAAACTATGACAACACAAGCTTCCGTCCAGTGAAAATTTTATCCAAAGATAGGCAAAACCAAAAACGTACAAACCTCCACAGACGTTCTATAATCTTTCCCTTCCCAATATGCTCATCAAGCAATTCCGGCACATCATCAGGAGTGACGTCGCCATACCTGCAATTAATAATACATAGTATTCAAATTCCATCGATCCCAATACAACAAAATTTTAAATTGTTATGATCTGAATATTACCAATGGCCCGTTATGCTTCCATTTGAACCTGGGCTATAGATAATCAAATTTCCATCGTGGCCTCCAGTGTGAAAGCAAGCATCAGTAAATACCTGATTCGTCAATCCTCGTAGCTCAGCCTCCTCTTTAAACTTATAAATGAGAACACGTGCACTATCACCAATCCATTCCTCTCGACTACCTTGTGCACATACAAATACATGGGAGCCAGTCAACGACTCTTGCACTCCGGAAGCCCATGGCTTGTCATTCACAAGGACATCATCAACAAAGCTGTCCACATTCGACTCTTTCAAGCCCCTTTGATCAACAAACAAAAATATCAGAATCACAAAAAAGGATTTACATGCAAGAAAATTAGTCGTAAACTGAGCCATTAAATTCAATTTCTATAACTAATTTCAGAAACTAACACATATCTAATTATCTATTTGGTTCAGTAAATTCAGCATAATCCCGTAACCAAATGAGAAGTCGAAACAAAAATTACTTTAGTCTGAGGTAGGAAAATAAATTGCGCTCATGTTGGTTATGGAATGGGCCCTCGATTATGAATTAACTACGGTTTGCCATTGTGTGTGTTTGTGTGGGCGGTGCTTAACAGCTGGGTTGGGCTGCTGCATTTGGGCCCATGGTGCAGCTCTCACGCGTTTTGGGCTGGGTTTCACCGAAAGATCAAATGACTCTTTTGCCCTTTTCAGTCCTAATCCAACGGCCACCATTTGGGGCGTTTGTGTTCTGCAATTCGGTTGCTTTCGATCTCGTCAAGGAGATCGAGCAGAGAGGCGGAGGGTGACATCAAGTTTTGGGTTTGCACATTGAGAGACAAGAGGGTTTATGGGAAGGGTAGGAGCTAGAGAAAGGGGGGGTTCTGTTCGCTGACGTTGGTTGCGGAGAGAGAGAGAGATGGGCAAAAGTATGGGGGTAGGGTTGAGGGGAACGGGTACAGAGAGAAAGAGTGAGGAAGGGACATATGAGCTAGAGGTATGGGTTGATTTGTCAGGGTCGACCTGTAAACGGTCGGGTTATTGGATTTGGGTCGGGTTCAATTTGACCCGTTAAGTTAACGGATCATCCGTTTCATCGGTTAACACCCGTTAACAATTATTATTATTATTTTTTTCATAAAGTTTATTTTTTATTGTTAAGACTTTACTGAAATTACTTAAACATTCTCAACTAACGGGTGCTAATGAGTCTAACGGGTTGACCCAAAGTGACCCGTTATTTAACGGGTTGTTAACCAATTCACCAGTTAACCCCGACCCATTAATTTTCCACCAAAATACTAATATTAACTGATCGGGTTAACATGCCAGGTGCAAAATGCCAGGTCTAGTCAGGGGCTGCTGCATCCTTCCTATTCACAAGGTAACAAATAATTTTCCATTCATTCTTTACTGTTGGTTGTGAATTTACTGTTCGGGAAAGGAGGCTACAAATGATTTATGCATACCTTTGTAGCCTTTAGGTGTGTGTTTGCTAGCTAGCTGGGTCGTGGGTGAGTCTTGATTGTTTTGGTTCTGTCATCTTCGACTCTTATGTCTTCCCTTTTTCTGAATTTTCTTTATTTCTCATCCTTTAAACTTTGTATTTTTTTTTTATGTGTGATGCAGATAGATGAACATGTTCAAAGGGGAATCATGAACCACAGATCACTGCATCCGAATATCGTTTTGTTCCAAGAGGTCAGTGATCATAAACTATTTTCATTTTGTATTTTAAGAATGAATTTGGCAAGTTCTGTTTGAATTTTGTATAAGTATCTGCTGAGGGTGGGTGGATGAAGACAGAACATGCTAAATTTGGCCTTTGGTGTGCTTAAACTGGTACGGGGGATGGTTAGAACTTTGAGACCGGGATGCAGTAGGACTAAGAGAAATGCCCTACCCACCGGGGCAATTGTTGTCAAAATAACTCTGCTAAAAATATGAGCTTTCCGGCACTTTGTTTTTAGAGTGGCTTATTTGGGATAATTGATAAAGAGATTTGTGTTTAAGACTTGAGAGTAGTGCGGTGTCTTTCTTGCTGGTTCTGCTCACACCACCTCATCTAGAGAGTAGTGAGGTTTGTGATGGAGTACACGGCTGGGTGAGAACTCTTCGAGAGAATATGCAGTGCTGGCAGATTTAGTGAGGATGAGATAAAGTGGTTTCAAATGCAGAGAACATTTCATTGGAAATGATTTTAGTGTAGAGTCTCAAATATGGGATCTGTGAATGTCCCCTGAAATGGAATCCATCTCGATTTTCGTTTAGTTTCAGATAAGGAAAGTTAGGTCTGAAGCATTTTGGAATATGAATGGAAATTATGGAATCCATGTAGTCCAACGAGTTCTTGAAGTTTGGAATATCTTTGAGTTTGTGGCAGTCGTCCAGTCTCAAGAGTGTCATTTTCGACATCTCTGAAAAGTCGGGCATTATTTCCAGTGCAGTGCAGTGCAGTGCTTTGCTATCAGTTCAAGCAAACTGTTTGGCAAATCTAGGATTGCCTGAAGGTTTGTGCAATGATTTAGCTTTAAAACCTGAAGCTGAGAAAGGCCACTGAGAATGGGCAGCCTACTAAAACCATTCCCACCTAGATCTAAAAATGTTAAAGAAGATAGACTCCCAATTATTTCGAGAACGGCACCATCTGTTATATTGCAGTCGTTGAGATTTAATCTCTTAATCATCTTCAGTTGTGCTAAAAAATGGTAACTCCCACACAAACCCTTAGAGCCACTGAGGTCCAATTCCTCGAGATGTGGGAGTTTTGAAAAGTCTGGTAATTCAGTCAGGTTATGGCAGTCTCTAAGAATGAGATACTTCAACTTCTTAGGCAACTGTTACTCAAAAAGAGAAAACAATAATAAAAATCCAAATAAATAAAAGAGAGAATGCATGACGATGACTGATGTTGATATTTACAAGGCATTGATAATTATATCGTACCAAGTCAGAATCCTCCCAAACTCGTATGATCTTGCTGTTCCACAGTTCCATATAAACTAGGTTTCGTTGATCAAAATCTGCTGGTATGGCTTCAAGAGGAAATCCGTTCGAACACAAAAATCTTAACTCCTTGGAAAGATGTTTGTAGCTTCCCGTCAGCTTTACATTTTCCAGCATGAGAAATTTCAGACGCCACATCTTCTTAAACACTTCCGTACTGAAGCTTCGCTCGTCATCAGGATGTTCTAGCAAAGCTAATTGTAGTCCTTCAACTGCTTCTGTTCCCTGTTAGAGATATAAAAAAAAAAAAAACAAGAAAAGGATAATATTTACACGAAGCAGAGCTGTGAATTGGATGAATGAACTACTAGAAGGGTAGGATACACAACATAATTATGTATTTTCTCTTTCAATTTACAGTGGATGAAAGCCTTTTCTTTCTTCTTTTTCTTCAAATATACTATGTATGGCATACATTATATATATGCGGATATACGTATATACTTCTCTTTCTTCACATGTACTTAACATAACATCTTTTTATTGCAAAAGTACTTACAGATTCGTTTCTTAACACGTTTTTTGCATCTTCACTATGCCACAATTGACTACGTTTTCCCAATTCCGTAGGAGATTTTGCCCGCACAATTTCTCTTCCCATATCTCGAACCAAATCATGCATCCTCAAAATTTTGTCTTCATCAATATATAAGAGACCTCGATTGCAGAGTGTGGTAATTTCTGCTTCTACAGAAAAATGACTACAACTATCCAATACTGGCATGACTATATTTATATACCATCCAATAAAGACACAAGATATGTCAAGGAACACACCCTTCACATGATCATCAATTAGCCCATCGTATCTTAATTTAAGCGTTTCATTAATTTCTCCTCCATTTGGAAGCTTCTGGTCATTAATTTGTTCAGCTTCATCAGAAGATGCTCCCATTTGGCCCCTACAAGGAATGAAATTGAATTTCGTGTTCACCTATTTAAAGATTCAACTCTAAGTTTCGTCAATAGCAATTGAGTAAGAACATGTATGATCAAGCTTATAAACAAATCACAACATTACAAATCAGAAACATGTATGGGGTAATGTAGTTATATCCAATTATTTTGTGCTTTCTCCACAAAAGCTCCTCCATGTTAATGTAACTCTATATCAATTAATCTATCATACAAGACCAGACATAATCAGCAATTAAAAAATATGACAACACAAGCTTTCGTCCAGTGAAATTTTCATCCAAAGACAGTAGGCAAAACCAAAAACAAACAAACCTCCAATGTCGTTTTATAATATCTCCCTTCCCAATATGCTAATCAAACAATTTCGGCACGTCATCAAGATTGACCAAGGGATAACTGCAATTAATAATACATAATATTCAATCTCCTTCATCGATCCCAATACGATAAATTTTAAATTGTTATCATCCGGATATTACCATTGGAATGAATCTTTGCGGTAGATAGTGGGATTTCGAGCACAAATGTGGCCTCCAATGTGAAGGCAAGCAGTAACAAATACCTCATTCGTCAATCCTCGCAACTCAGCCTCCTCTTTAAACTTATCAATGAGAACACGTGCAGGATCACGATTCCATTCATTTCGTGTCATATGTGCGAATATAAATAGATGGCGGCCAATCAACGGCTCTTGCACTCCGGAAGCCCATGGTTTGTGATTCACAAGGACATCATCAACAAAGCTGTCCACATCCGACTCTTTCAAGCCCCTTTGATCAACAAACAAAAACAACCTCAGAATCACAATAAGGGATTTAAAGGCAATGAATTAGTCGTAAACTGAGCCATTCAATTCAATTTCTAGAACTAATTTCAGAAGCTAAAACATATCTAATTATCTATTTAGTTCAGTACATTCAGCACAATCTCGTAATAAAAAAGAATTTAAAACAGAAATTACTTCAGTCTAAACTAGGAAAGTAATTGCACTGCTCATGTTGGTTATGGAATGGGGCCCTCGACAATGGCGGAGCCACACAGAGGCCAGTGATGGCCCAGGCCTACCCTGATAATTCATTTATGTATGTACTCTCTGCAAGATTTTACAAAAATGAGCATGCGGCTCATTGGCTACTGGGATTTTGCAATTCCAAAAAGCCGCCTTCCAAGCGGTCTAGCAATTTTTTTAGATTTTTTTTTAAACTGAAAGGAAAAAAGGGTTCTTATAATTTGCCTTATTTTTTACCATATTAAAACTAAGTCTTATTTTTTAATATATAAAAAAACATACTCTCTTTTTTGGCTAGTTGATATAAAAAAAAGGTCTATACACTATAGAGCAAAATCTAATTTTAAGTCGTGATTTTAAATTTTTGTACAACTCTAATGTGTTAATTTTTTTTATCAAGGCTTGTAAACAAGTTTTGTTTTTATGATATATTCATTTCAATACTAGGTTTTTCATACAAAATTTAAAGCTCCACCATTCTTGTTTTATTAAAAATTTTCATGCCAATACAAAAAACAAAACCTTTAATTTTTCTCCCATTAATTATATTTCAAAGGCTAATCTTTCTATGGCTTAAAGGCCCCTCCTAATCTGGTTTTCTGGCTCCGCTACTGGCCCTCGATTATGAATTAATTACGGTTTGCCATTGTGTGTTGGTGTGGGCCGTGCTTAATAGTTGGGTTGGGGTGCTGTAGGCCCAGGGTGTAGCTCTCACGCGTTTTGGGCTGGGTTTCACCGAAAGATCAAATGACTCTTTTGCCCCCTTCAGTCCTAATCCAACGGCCACCATTTGGGGCGTTTGTGTTCTGCAATTCGGTTGGGCGGGGGAGGGGGGAGAGAGGGGGGGTTAGGTTGCTTTCGATCTAGTAAAGGAGATCGTGCAGAGAGGCAGAGGGTGACATCGAGTTTAGGGTTTGCACAGTGAGAGACAAGAGGGTTGATGGGAAAGGTTGGGGGTGGACAGAGGGTTGATGGGAAGGGTTGGGGGTGGACAGAGGGTTGATGGGAAGGGTAGGAGCTAGAGAGGGGGGGGGGGTGGGGGTGAGGGTGGGTCCTCTCTCCACTGCTTGACGTCATTTGGATCTTCATCCCTTTCATGCTTCCCCAAAACTACCTTTCTGTTTCCTGACTTGAGAAGGGTCAACGTCGTAGAATATTGGACACACTATTTTCCCCTCTTGTTCTTTTAGGCACCTCATGATTTTCGACAGCTCCCTCAGGCACCACCGGGACTCCGCGTACCCCTTCGAGAAGACGAGGAGGGCGATTCTCGATCCTTCGATTTCTTGGTCAAGTTCACTCTGTATGGTTTTCCCCCTTGTGAGCTGGTTATCTATAAAAGTGTTAATTCCGGCATTGCGTAATGCAATGAAGAGGTGGTTTGTAAAGGCGTTGCGGGTGTCTTCGCCTCTAAAGCTCAGGAACACCTCGTACTTCCAGCGGTTTGAGCCAGCTTCACTGGCGGAGCTGCTGGTATCCATTGCAGCCTGTAGAAGTGCAGCTTGGCGTTCAAATAACCAACGTCAAGTCTTTCCCAAGATTCCCAAGTGTTGGTGGCCCTTTTAAATATTTTGCATGGGCCAATGATGTCGATAACACGTGAGTGCTATTCCCCCAAAGTTTAATTTGTATAAATGTTACCATCAAATTTAAATATTTTACCATGCAATTTCCTCTTTTGTAGTTTTTTGAGAAATCTGCCGCCCCCCCCCCCCCCACTTTGACCAGTTGACGAGATTATTGTATTTTAAGGGTGGTGCGCAGGTCGGTCCAACTGTTGGAGTCACGCTAAAATACGCATTGGAATTTGGAAGTTAGAAAGTAAAAAAAATTATAATATTCAGACGTGAAATTTTAAAAGTGTTCACGAGAGAGAACAAAAATGAAAAACATTTACTCGATTGGGTTAAGGCATGGTCCAATAGAACTTATAGGCTTAAACACCGCAAGTAACCAAATTGGACATGGGTCTTATGACCCATCAGAGCACATTAAATTGTGAAAATTGCACCTGCGCGTTATTCACACGTTAGTGTAGTAACTTCAGAAAGAATAATACTTGAGTACTTATTGAAATTACCGACCCAATGAAATAATTAATAAAAAAGAACCAATCCCAGTGACTACCCAAATTACACGGCGTTAAATCGTTAACCTTTTGGTTTCTAAATTTACACGTGCCGCTCACTGAAATGATCAGAGTTTTGACTTTCATTTCTTGAAAGCCAGCTGCACCAATTGGTAATCGATGGATACCAGCAGCTCCGCCCATGGAACCGCCATCGCAGCCTCTTCGTATTCCCCGTGCCGCTCAAACCGCTGGAAGTCCAAGGTGTTCCTGAGCTTTAGAGGCAACGACACACGCACTAACTACACAGACAATCTCTCCATGCGTTACGCTATGCCGGAAGCAACACGTTTATAGACTACCAGCTCAGAAGGGGGGATAATATACAGAGGGAACTTGACCGAAAAATCGAAGGGTCCAGAATCGCCATCGTCGTCTTCTCCAAGGGGTACGCGGAGTCCCAGTGGTGCTTGAGGGAGCTGGCCAAGATCATGAGGTGCCGAGAAGATCAAGAGGGCAAAATAGTCTATCCAATGTTCTATGTCGTTGTGAGGAAACAGAGTGGTGGTTTTGAGGAAGTTCGGAAGCATGCAAGTGATGAAAATCCAAACGAACAATCAGTGGAGAAAGGATCTTAAGGCTTCTTTCCGGCGGACGGGTATAATTCCTTCTTTAACTCCTTCTTTACAATTTTTTGATGCTCAAATTTACTCACTTATAATTCAAGGTTAGAAATCCGGTCGTATATAGCTTAGTTAATCACATGGATCAATCTAATTTACTCAAATCTTCTTTGCTCAGAAAATATGAATCTTGCAGTTGCATGATGAATTTCACTTTTGTATAATTTTGAAATTTAATTGCCAGGCGTGAAGGGTTGTTTATTGAGGAAATTGCTAGGGACATCAGAGGACTACTGATAACAACAGACTTAAAACAAGCCAAGTGCCCAGTTGGAATGGATTTTCTTGTGCAATAGTTGAGTACTGAATGCTTAGATGTTGGAGATTTGCTTGATGTTCAAATAAATGGAATTTGGGGTTTGTGCAGTATAGGTGAAACAATACTTGCGAGAGCTATCTGTAGCAAATATCATCGTTGCTTTGGTGGTCAATGTTTCCTTCAAAAGGTGAGGAGTAAAAAAGAAAAGTATGGTTGCTCTGCAAGAACAACTTCTTCGAGGTGTTTTGAAACGGCTGGACATTAATGTGAGCGGTGTTGCCGAAGGAACCAAAGAGAGAGAGAAAAGATTTGGAAGCATGAAGGTGCTTGTCGTCGTTGATGGCATAGATGATGCTGACCAGTTAGATGAATTGGCGATAAAACAGGAATCGACTATGTTTGTTAAGATTCCAGCCACCCAAATCTGCAGAAGCCTTAAGATCCTTTCTCCACTGCTCGACCTCATTTGGATCTTCATCCCTTTCATGCTTCCAAAATGCATTTCCAAAAATACCACTATTTCCTCACTTGAGAAGGGTCGACGTCGTACAATATTGGATAGACTACTTTCCCCTCTTGATCTTCTTGGCACCTCATGATCTTGGCTAGCCTCTTTGAGAAGACAGACAACAGTATTCCTCGACCCTTTGATTTCTTGGTCAAGTTCACTCTGTGTGTTTTCCCCTCTTCTGAGCTGGTAGTCAATGAGCTTGTGGATTCCAGCATTGTATAATGCAATGGAGAGGTGGTCTGCGAAGGTAGTGTGTGTGTCGTCGCCTCTAAAGCTCAGGAACACCTCGTACTTCCAGTGGTTTGAGTGGCACAGGGAAGACGAAGAGGCTGCGACATCGGTTACATGGGCGGAGCTGATGGTATCCATCGATAATTTGTACTAGTGTTGGGAGAATAGAGGAGTGCAGCAGGCTATGCGGCTTGGCTTTCAGATAGCCAAAGTCAAGTCAAACTTCATCTTCTAAGTATTATAGAGAAACAAAATGCGTGGATTTATATGAATATGCACGCGTATGGCATTGCATATATTTATTACAACATATGGTAACACTTAATTTTTTATGTGTGAAGTAAAATATATGAATTTCTTACATTGCCTTGTTTGTTTGTTTATACATATTGTGAAATTTTTATGGACTTAGTACTATCAGTATTTGTCATTATCTGCTAGACAACACATGATTATGCGTGTCAATCAACGCTTAGGTTAGACTGCATAATATGAATTTGACCATATCATGAACTCATAAAGGAGTGAGAATGAGGATCAACTAGCCCGCTTAGTTTATTTGATTCATTATATTCATGGATTGGATCACGATCGAATGTTAAGATGATACCCATGCTTTTTCTGATTCTACACAAGTTAGTAATTCAAACGACTTCAAAAAGGAGTATTTTAGTAAATACGGGAAAATCAAGAATCAACATGACGTATACGTGGCTCCCCATATCGAAGAAAAAAGGGACATTGCACGTACTTATAAGTTATTAAACTCACAAGCAACTGAACAATCAGAGCCAGATGTCAATAACGAGTAATGGGATTGTAATGCTTTCAATATTCAAATCAATTAACAAGCTCATAAGAGGAGTTTAGGTTTAGGGTCCCTCATCAGATGAGTGATGGCTGGTTTAGCTCTGTCTGCAACGTCAATAGTGTCATCATCAGTGCATGTCTTCATCAGGCAGTATTCATGGTATAGTTTGATATCGTCACCAGACTAATATGGCTGGTTTAGCTCTGTCTGCGACGTCATTAGTTTCGATTTCGCGGTCAAGTTCTGTCTTTATATTCACACCACCCCCCCCCCCAACTCCCTTTCTGAGCTGGTAGTCTATAAACATGTTGATTCCGGCATTGCGAAATGCAATATCGAGGTGGTCTAGTGCGTGCGTCGTCACCTCTAAAGCTTAGGAACACTTCGTACTTCCAGCAGTTTGGGCACCACAAGGAAGACGAAGAGGCCGCTGCGGCAGCTAGGCGGAGTTGCTGGTATCCATGCATGCAGCCTGAAGAAGTGCAGATTGGCCTTCAAATAATCAAAGTCTTTTACCAAGATTTCCCAGTGCGGGCGGCATTTTAAAATTTTTAACCCCAATAATTTACGAATTTAAATCGTTTAGTTACAGGCAGGGGCGGATCCACAGTGGGGTCGTCGGGGTCGCACGACCCCTTGGAAAGCATGGAAACAACCTTGAAGCTCCCATACGCGACCTCTTGGAGCTGGGGTCGTCGGGGTCGGAGTCACACGCCAAGTGTTCGACAAAAATCCTGAACGAAGCTCGGCACTGCAGGAAGAGGAAGAAGAAGAAGCAAGCTATTACTATGCCATACGGATATGCTTGAGTTTGCATCCATTGATGAATTCTGCAATACCACATTTGATCCGTCTTTTGTTTCCCTAAGCCGGATGTTGGATGCTATGGCGCTTCTCATTCCTCACCTTAAATGCAATTGTGTGCAGGTGATGAAGAGACCTGGTTGTAATTATAAGACCGCTCGAGTTTGAGGAGGTGAATCCTCAAGGAAAAGTAGAGGATCACAAACAGAGTGGAAAGAAACAGAAACAGAAAAAGAGGAATAAGAGTAACAAGAGTAAAAGCGGTAGTGACAGAATTGTGACAAAGGTGAAGACTAAGCTCAAGAGTTGATTAATACAAAACTGTTTTCGGGTTTTTTTTTTCTTTCCAGTTCCATTCTTTCCATGGCGTAAGCGTCATCAATTTTCTACGTTTTGGAAGATGAAAGAGTTAGAAGAGAAGACAGATCGAGCGGGGATGCTTAATCTATGCGTGCTGGTAGAAATTCAATTGCCATAATTTTTGTATCTTTTAATTCTTTTCTCTTCTCCTGTGTTGCATGCAGTAGTTTGGTAGAAACTGTATATCAGCTATGTATTAAAGCCATTTAACTTATCCGACACTGCACCAAACGCCCGACTAATGGAGTTAGTACTATCCGACGACTATTTATCTTATCCGACTGAAATAGTCAGTACAGTCCGAAGTACCAAACGAGGTTAAAAAAAAATTTCGCGCTGCGCGCGCTATGACCCCACAAACATTATTTCCTGGATCCGCCACTGGTTACAGGTATGAAGTTCTGTAATTAATCTTTTAAAATTCGTAGACCTTTCGAGGTCATAATAATAATGATTTCAAATAGAGCTCGGTCTCACAAACGGATAGGCGAAAACCGTTCGTGAAACGGAATTATAATGAGAGAGATGTAAACGATTAAAGTCAAGAACATTTAAGCAATTTTGATCTTCAAATCCCGAAGCCTCCAGCTTTGCTGGAGCAGGAAGGGTGGTGATGAAGCCACGTGTGTGGCTGTGATGGAAAGAAGAGAAGAGAAAGGCGAGAAAGGTGAAGGGGGACTGCCCAATCAGAAAGAAGAGCAGGAGAGACATGAGAGAAGTGTGAGGCACTCAACCCGGACCCCCGTTCCTTGACCCGTTCACACCGCGACCCGAACCGCATCCCGGCTTTTAAATACAGCGCTTTCTTTTCAAAAAAAAAAAAACCTCATTGCACGATATACTTGACAACGCATGATATACAGTAACTGGTAATTCAAATAAACTCCAACTTCCTTAGTAGTAACCAAATTCGATCTGGGTCTTACGATGACCAATCTCAAACATCAATTGTAATGCTTTCAATATTCAAATCAATTAACAAACTCATAAGATGAGTTTAGGTTTAGGGTACCTCATCGTTAGATGAGTGATGGCTGGCTTAACTCTGTCTGCAACGTCAACAATCTCTTTCATCAGTTTATGTCTGATAGTCCTCGTCATCAGTATCGTCGCCATACTCATACGGTACACGCTCATAGTCCACGCCCTTAAACTCTATATATGAAAGATCATATTCTAGAATTCCATCAGACAAATGACATTCTGTGATACCCACTCCAGTTTTCTTCACCTTAATTTGATGATCATCCTCTGCTCCTTTAATTAAAGTCTGCTGTTACAAAAACCACGTTGCCGCCTTCGGATTCAGCTTCTTGTTTGAAAGATGTCCCAGCCAAAGATGACATTCATGGGAGGCAGTTACGGTGGCCACAATTGGCGAAATGACAAAATGAGTTCGCTGGGAATGATTAACAACATGAATGCATAGAGACCCAGTACAGCCGGAGTGGTCCCCGGAATAAACTATGCACACAGCCAACCCTCTTATATTAACAGCAGTCCTTTGCCGCACTTCAAATTTGATAGTTTCATCCTCATTCACGACATAGGTGAACCAGTAAGGAATATCCATTCCAGAGAGAAAAAGCCCGCCTAATGCTCTCGTAATCCAGCCCTTGGACGAGTACAACACCATTGAGGCTGGTGGAGGAGATGCTTGCAGAGATCAGCAGTGGACGATGATCTCGACCAAACTCTTGAGCTTTGGCAACAGCCTGAAAAGTTCTCATTATTCTCAATCCAATTGCCGTTTCCTTGGGGCATCTCCTCGATTTTCTTACTTTCTCCTCCATTTGGAAGCTTCGGGTCATTAATTTTTTCAGCTTCATCACAAGATGCTCCGATTTGGACCCTGTAAGGAATGAAATTGAATTTCCTGTTCAGCTATTTAAAGTTTCGTCAATAGCAATTGAGTAAGAACAAGTATGTTCAAGCTTAATAAACAAATCACAACAACATTACAAATCAGAAACATATACAGGGTAATGCAGTTATATCCAAGTCTTTTGTGCTTTCTCCACAAAAGTTCCTCCATGTTAATGTAACTCTATATCAATAAATCTATCATACAAGACTATAAATAATCAGCAATTGAAAAATATGACAACACAAGCTTCCATCCGGTGAATATTTCATCCAAAACAGTAAGCCAAACCAAAAATGTACAAACCTCCAAAGTCGTTCTATAATCTCTCCCTTCCCAATATGCTGATCAAATTCTGGCACATCATCAGGAGTGACGTAGCCATACCTTCAATTAATAATACATAATATTCAAACTCCTTCATCAATCGCAATACGAAAAAATTTTAAATTGTTATGATCCGGATATTACCAATAGCTTGTTGTACTTCCATCTGAACCTGGGATGTAGATAATCAAGTTTCCCATTGTGGCCTCCAGTGTGATAGCAAGCAGTAACAAATACCTGATTCGTCCATCCTCGCAGCTCAGCCTCCTCTTCGAACTTATCAATGAGAACACGCGCACTATCACGATTCCATTCTTCTCGACTACAATGTGCACATACAAATACATGGGAGCCAGTCAACGGATCTTGCACTCGGGAAGCCCATGGTTTGTGATTCACAAGGACATCATCAACAAAGTTGTCCACATCCGACTCTTTCAAGCCCCTTTGATCAACAAACAAAAACAACCTCAGAATCACACAAAAAGGGATTTACAAGCAAGGAATTAGTCATAAACTGAGCCATTAAATTCAATTTCTAGAACTAATTTCAGAAGCTAACACGTATCTAATTATCTATTTAGTTCAGTAAATTCATGTTGGTTATGGAATGGGCGCTCGATTATGAATTAATTACGGTTTGCCAGTGGTGTGTGTGTTAGTGTGGGCCGTGCTTAACAGCAGGGTTGGGCTGCTGCATTTGGGCCTCCGCTGACGTTGGTTGCAGAGAGAGAGAGATGGGGAAAAGTATGGGGGTGGGTTATGTCCACTGCTGTGTATTGCCTAATTAGTTATTTACATTTGCTTATTTATCTCTGTAAAGCTTTCATGCTTGGATTTTAAATGTATGGTTCAATTAGAAACCTTTATAATGTTGATGTTATAGAACATTCCAACAGATATACAAGACTATTGTGAAACAATTCGTATAAACCTCAAATTACAATGCTTAAAAACTAAAAAGTACCGAGTTATGAATAAGACTATTGTGGTATTTTGTTACCTTAAAAGCAGCTGCATACGCTGCTTGTAAAATTCGACATGCCTTCGAAAGGTAGCTTGTTATGGATGAGTTCCCACAATACAATTACAAAACTGTAAGCATCCACCTTATGATTGTAATGCTTCTTTTCTCCGTGTCGTAATGTAACTCTGCTGTAAAGCTGCCACCAAATACAAAGGTGGAAAATTAATTTGCTGATATCAAACACACTCACAAGAACATATGAGAAAACAAATTTTCAACCTTTGAATGACCAATTTAAAGTACCGTATCTCAGGAGACATCCACCGGTATGTCCCAGTTTCAGCGGTCATCATCTCTGTCAATGACTCTTCTCTTGCTAAGCCAAAGTCCGCAAGTTTGACTGTTTTTTGGTCGGCAGTCAAGATCAAATTCTCTGGGAAAAGGACAGGACAAAAGTTGTAGATTGTTGGCGCCAGTTCGGCGTACTTATACTCTCACGAATATAATTACCGAGACCGAACCCAACACCGACGATTTTTGAACTTCGAAGAAACTAGCAACCTTGTCTTCAAGCTTTAGAACCCAAAGGCTGAGATGTGTTCCTTCCTCTGCCGCAATTGCAAGATCAAGAAGTCAGTAGCCCACCCGACACCACATTAACGTATTTTACTCCCCGGCCGAACTTAGTTGATGAGTTGGCATGCCCCGCACATAAACGAAGGACGTAGTTAACTTATAAATTACTCGGCCTGCGCGCCACGTAGGCTTGGTAGTTTTTAGGGTCAACATTTTGGCACGCCTGGTGGGACACAGTGCTAAAGATACGAAGTTCATGACCATTGAAGCACGATCAGTAAAAACAAAAACAATCATGGGTAAGTTAATGACTAATCTTCTACCTACAGTCCAAAGCCTAGGACAAGATGGCTTGTCACAGGGACATAATCCTTCTGCTGCTGTAACACTTAAAGCCACAAGTACAACATGCCGAAAAAAAGGAATCAATCTCTGCGGTCAGACTCGTGATGCAGAAATCCCCACCAAAATGACAAAATGCATTTTTGTTGAAGGACTAGTGGAGGATTGTGACGATGATGATGATGAGGTATTTGATCTATCATCTAAATCTTTTCTTCGGTGACGATTTGAAGAATAATCTCGGCAGTTTGAGAAAATGTTCAGCTGAGAGGTAAATGCATACTTGAAGAGATGCATGATAATAGCGTTGTGCTCAATAGATTGTTCGAAGTTCTGGTTAATAAAATCCACGAAGTTGGACCCGCCGATCGACTCAGGCAACCTCATCTTCTAAAGAATAATCATTTGCCAGCGATATAGAGCGAGACATGATCTGGTCGACTCAAAATGATTGACTTAGAAAAAAAATGGCGAATAAAGCAGCAAACTGGTCAGAATTGACCAAGGAGCAGAAGTGGTGCCTGTTGACATGGTCGAAGTCCAGAGAATGATTGATTCAGCCTTAAAAAAATGGCCAAAGTTTCCAAAATTCATTCACCCATATCCAGCCTTTGTAGAAAGGTTCGAATATCCTAAGGGATTCAAGATTCCAGACTTTATCCTTTTCGCTGGAGAATCATCCTTGTCCTCGTTAGAACACGTGGCTCGATTTACTGCTCAATGTGGAGATGTTAACAGTGATTTCATAAACTACGACTGTTCAATTTCTCGTTAACTGGCACAACGTTCGCATGGTACATCAACCTCCTACCCAACTCTATCCAAAGTTAGGAGGAATTAGTCGAGAAATTTCATGAGCAATTCTATCGGCCAGGGATGGAAATGTCAGTTTCTTCTTTGGCCAAAATGGCTAAATCATTTGATGAGTCACTAATGTAATATCTTACGAGGTTTAAATCAGCCAGAAACTGGTGCTGAGTACCCTTCCTGAAGTCGAGTTTGTTAGGCTTGCCCTAAACTGCCTGGATGTGGAGTATAAAAAGAAATTCTTAGGGGCAAACTTTCAAGATATGTACGAACTGGCTTAACATGTTGAGCAATATGATTATTTGCTCCGAGAAGAGAAAATCTCAAAATCACCAGCCCCAGGGACAATCTACAAAAACCCAACAATAAGTTATTTATCGGCCGAAGGCGAAGAGTCCCAATATGCCAGTAGATGCGGTTGAGATAGTAATTGACAAACCATAAGTATGCAAAACGTTAGCTCACACTAATTCTAAAGATGTCAAAACCCGCTTTGCCTCTGTGGAATCCACTTTCAAAACGCCAAAGGTCTACACTTTAGACATCACCAAGGCCGACGCCATCTTCCATTGGTTGTTACTTGCAAAAATCATCAAGCTTCAGCCAGGACATAATATCCCCAAGGCCGAAGATTTGAAAGGAAAGATGTATTGCAAATACCATAATTCAAACAAGCATACAACAAATAATTGTGTCGTATTTCGCGACGCCATCCATAGCTGGATTGACAATGGCAAACTCAAGTTTCCTGAGAAACCTCCAATGATCGTTGATGCCGATCTTTTCCCCTTGGAGACAGTAAGCATGGTAGATGCTCATCTACCCAAGGACAAGAGAAAAGGAAAAATCGAATTTATCTCGATGCAGTACGTCCCTAAGAAGAATTCTCAGCTGCGATTGAAAGTTGATCTATCTTCCGACGAGCCACCCAAATACTTTTCGAACCCAACTTATGCCGAGTCAATGTCGGACTCCAGCACAAAGGAAACTGATGGGCCGATGGTTTTATGTAGTAGATGCAAATTAAACGTCATCATAACTAAGCTGAAAAAATAACCACTTCGGGATGAAGCATCGTAACTAGCGCCTGCAGTTGTGGAAACATGTCAAAAGGTGCTTGGTGCAAACTAACGCCAGAAAGTTTTCAATAAGCTTAGCCCTCAAACACAGAATAATAAGCCGTCTTGGGCCAAACGGCGACTTGATTTCGACGGGCTATTTTACAATGAAGATTATTATGCGTGCAATTCTAGCTGCTCAAGTTCACCCACGAACCGGCAAACCTTCAAGCCACCTAAGCCACACAAACAACGTTGGTATAGCTACAAATCCCCTAGTGGTGCATATACCGCGTTGTCCAAATCGTAGAAATGCCATCGCCAGAGAATATATTGTATGGCTCACCAACGAGCAACCCAGGCCACCCCAACTACTCAATGGCAGCCGAAAGAAATGGTAGGTAACGAAGATGACCGACAAGCTCCAGCAATCATGACCGAGCTACTTCAAGGAAAAAAAGTAATCGATTGCAATTTTGAAACCACAATTGAAGAATCTGAGAAGCAGATCAAACTTTTTCTTCGGCCTAGGGAGATGAAAGCTCACCTCAAGCACTTCTAGAAGGAAACCGAAAGCAAACTTCCTCTGCTATCCCCACAAGAGCCATTAATTAAAGTCAAACAAAATTGCCATCTGCCGTTTTTCGGTGAAGCTTTGAAATACGTGCGGGGGTTCCACAAGAAGCATTAACTAATGACTTTTACGACCTACCAAAGCATGCCAAGAGTTTCTTGATTTGGCGTTAACCTGCCCCAATGCCGAACAGATCATCCAAAAGACCATGGATTTGGGAATGAAGGCTAGGTTCCAACATATACGCGAGGTCCAAGTTCTTAGCTTTGAGGTGGATCCATATACTGATATTGTCAATCTTTCTTTCTCTCTCGAGGATCTCCAATATTTGCAGTACCATTTTGAAGTTTTCTTAGCTGTTTCCCTATTCGGCCTTACGGCCGATGAGGAGCACATGGCGCGTTTAGATGCTTACTTAGACACAAAAGACGCCCGCATCGCATATCAGGAGCAGACTCACAAAGCTTTACAAGCGCAAGACCAAGTCCCAACGCAGAGCGAGCCAGTGGTCGAAAAGCTTTACAAACATGCCACATAAATGTGTTTTCGCTGCAACCAAAGATAGCCAAGTGAGTAGTGCCCATGAGCAAGACACCTCGCCCAAAAATCCAGAAGACGATGATCACAACCTGATGGGCCCTTTAGTCTTCGACAACATAGAAATTAGCATAGTCTATGCCTTGTAGAATTTTGGCCAACCACATCCCAACCAAATTTCCTGGACGGTGACATAATTGCCGAAGAGGCCACGTAAGTCGATTTTGTGGCTACCGAAGAAAGTGAGCAAATAAGCAAAGAAGATAAACTTAAAGTAGCTATCGCCGAACTGTTTCCCCGTTCTTTATTCTTTAATCTTCATCATTTGAAGCCGTTGTATGTCACGGCACATATTGAAGGATACCCGATTTCCAAAAATTTTGTCGACTGTGGAGCAACGGTCAACATCATGCCTGTCTCTATCATGAAAGCATTACATCGCTCTAGAGATGAACTCATTCCATCAAGGGTAACTATGAGCAGCTTTGTCGGTGACAAATCTCAGACTAAGGGAGTGCTTCCTTTAGAGGTGAATATCGTAAGACAAAATCACATGATGACATTTTTTACAGCCGATTCAAAGACCGAGTATAATGATTTGCTTGGTTGTGATTGGATCCACCAAAATGGTTGTATCCTCTCATCATTATATCAAGTCCTCATCTTTTGGGACGGTAAATCGACTGTAGTTCATCCGGCCGACAATCAGCCCGTTCGAAGATAATATGATTCAAGCTCGCTATTACAATGATCATGTCGGCTATATCACCTTGCAAGGTTTCAACAAAGAAAGATGGCCGACTCGGATCTCAGTTCAGAAAGCCATCGAGGTTGGCGTTAAGACTGTTCAGCAAGATTCTGTAAGACTCAGGTTGGCTAACCTAATTGACGATCTTGATGCCTAATACCAAACAAGATAGACATCGGGCTGTGGTTTCATCTATCATGGAACGCCTATTATCCCATTGGTATACTATTTCCTAGCAATCAAATTCTGGCGTGAACTTAGTAGAGTTCCTCGCCGAATGAGATAATGGTCCAGTCCTATCACTTGATAAAGTCCAAGCTACCCCAGCTGAGCTCGAGGACAGTGGACTTGAAGTCAAAGATCCATTAGACGAAATAAATGTTGGAACGGCCGAGGACCCTCGACCTTTATTTATTAGTTCTTTA